GGCAGAGGAAAATACGGCTTTCTACGCAGTATAGTTTCTGAACTGGGAGGATGACACCGACGTCTCGATTTCAGCTTTTCGTACGCGTGGCGTAAATGCATATGACAGCTGAATTTAAAATCTCTAGCCACGTATGGGACAGACAGCATTCTCGTAGAATTCTAGTTTATCTTGTTTGATTCCAGCTATCTCTTCCCTGCCAATATTTTTCCAGTTTTTTTTATAAATGTAGGTTGCTTTTGTTTATGGAGTAAAAAAAATGGACCAGGAAAAGAGCCATGAAATTTCAGCTTTCTAGCTTTTCAGATTGCTCGTCGAAAGTCGACACAAAATACGAACGCACCCACACACAAGATACACGCGTACATACATACATACATCCACACACATACACACACAAACATACACGTTTTTGATCTATTGACAGTATGCGTTTTTGCACTGCAGCAATAGAGCAGAAACACGTGATGTTCCAGCTGAAGGATGCAAAGCAAAAGAAATTAGATTCAGCGAAATTTAAATAAGGCAACGCAAAACGTACCGCATTCTCCTACTGTTTCATGTCCTACTACATAATGCACTACATCACCACTTCTAATTAAGTGCCCACTTGTAAACCACATTTCCCAACCATCGCTATTCGACGCTTCATTAGTCTCATTCTTTCACAGAACTGGTTTTCGGCATAAATAGAGGAGCTACGATGTACAAGTCATCGCACTCACTCATTTTCCTTTTCGTTTTGACAGGCGACACTGAAGCTACGAAATTACACCATTTTTGTTGTTTTTACCACAGGCCAAGCAAACAGCCCCGCTGCACGCTACCACTGTGTTTTTGTAATTAGCTGCTGTGAATGCACAATAGAATTCCGAGAAATGAATAGAAAGAGACCGGATTTGATCGTCATTAGCGGGTGCTTTCTTTTGGATTTATTAAATTAGCATCGATTTTGGCAGTAAACTTAAATATGGGCAGCAGAGTCGAAAAGACAGAAAATCCGCAAGGTATTAGTGTATCACAGATGGTGAGCAGGACGGCTAGGGTAAGGAAAGGGGATCGAATATCTTCATCCCTTACTTATATCTTCCACTCGTTTCTTTTGCAAGAGTAAAAGTGGTTTGCATATTAGTGGCCAAACACACGAATCAATTAAATTCCGTACATTACACTCCTAACCGTGAAAAAATAGTATTTGCCAGGAAATGCCGCAACAGATTAAGACACGGAAGAAGCGGGCCTCAAAATCAACGCATCGAAAAAACTGGAGAAGTGAATTGGCAGTACATCCCTGGGCAAACTGCAGACAAAATTTACTGACACAGGAAACAATGGCACTTAAATCCGTCTTTGCCAGGAAGAAAATATGCGCCACAATTTCCAGCCCAAAACTGCACACGGAAGAACTGTCGGCTGGAGCAAATTCAAAGCATCGTTGATGTTATCAAGGCACAGGAAGACCTATGCTCATGTCTTAAAAACCATTCTATTGAAAGCCAACAAATTAGGAACTGAAGAAAGCAGGAAGGCATGCGCTGGCTCTGGTCGACAGAGCGATGCAATGAAGGATGCTTGGAGTATCTCTTCGAAAAGACATAGTAATCGAACTCACCTTTAACTTGATGTCACTGCAACTACACGTACAAAATAAAATCGGATGGACACGACATGTTCACCTTACTGACAATCGGTGGAAGTCGCATATTAGTAAGCAGTACCTGCGTAAAACTAACATTTGGTGGCGTATACATGCACACAAAAAAACAAAATAGGAAATGAGTGCATCGAGAGGCATGCAGATCATAACTGAAGGGCTTAGCGTAGCTGTATGGGACGAAGAGGTACAGGCAGACGTCTAAAAACTAGTTCAATTAAAGACTTTGATACAGAAAGTAGTACTACCAAATTCTGTGATAATAGGACGAGCACAAAATTGAATGCAGTTTTGGTTAAAGCTTCTAGGAATAAAAATGAAGTATCATCGAGGACTCAAAATGTGACTACGACCCATCCCTTTTCACCGTATAGCGGAAGAAATTACACATCAATAATAAGGGAGAAGCCCAGCTCATTTCATCCAGACTTGTGCTGGTAGTTGGCAGGAGCATACCAACGCATCACTTCCCACAGCTGTTCCACCCTTCACTCCACACCTTTCAAATAATTTTTTTTTTTTAATTTGTATCAACTCTTCACACCTCCAGAATCAATTAACCGCCAAATTCGGCTCCGACAATCACTCAATAACAACGGCATCAATAATAAGAATAATAATAGTGGCAAGAATAATGGTACTGATAATAGTAATCATAATAATAAAGAAAATAATAGGAGAAGCAATAACAATAATAATACAGTTATATTAACAAATAATGATGATGATAATAATTATAATATCAATAATAATAATTACTAATAACAATAAGAGTAACAACAATAATAATATATTATAAATATTATAATAATGATAAAAATAATTATTATTATAACAGCAGTGATAATAACAATTATACTATCAACAATGATCATAATATTGACAAGAATGACTACATTAATAATGAATTACAATGAAAGTCCTCCAGTTTTTGCAAACATGTAATTTGGCTCCGAAAAGCTGACTAGCTTAAGACAAGTATTCGGACGACGGCATTATGTTTATTCTACTAAGCTGAACTGACACCTTTAATTGTTGTTTCAAGTGAAAACTGCAAATTTTTGCCGACTAATTTTAAGGGCAGTATTCATGCAGTGATACATTTTGAAAACGCAGCAGCCCATTTTATGCACCAAATTATCAAAAAAAAAGAATGCAAAAAATGAGTTGAAGAAATTTTGCCGGAGAAGCATAAATTATAGTCTAAAAAAGCTCTCAGTGAAGAAGACAGGAGAATTCGTTTCAGAAGGGCCAAAATGTTTTGAACTGCGTTGAACTGCAATAGAAAGCAAATAACTGGATCCAGAAGGTGCAAAAAAAAAAAAAAGAAAAATTTTAACACTTAAGAAAACGCTGCTGAGAAGTAGTTAGCAGGAGCAGCGGAAAAAGAGATGCGAAATCCTGATTAGATTGCTTCACGCTTCGAAAATCACTGAGTTCTCATAAAAGACTTATTCATAGTGACAGCGAAGCCGGG